TCACTTCTCACTATCACTGTTATAACTCACATTTCCTCCTCGTATTTTGTCAGAATAAAGATGCTCCACAAAAGTAATGTGATATGTGACCCACAAAAGTTTCAACGAGCCGAAGTTACGACCGAGGGAGGTGAGGGGCTGCTCCCATAATGTGTTATTATGACTGGGACACCAAAGCTCTCCTGTCTAGCCCGCGGGAGAGTGTCAGTTTTGATTTTTTGGTCGTCCTAATACTCTTATATTGGCGACACTGACAGACAGACAGGCAGACAGGCAGACAGACAGACAGACAGACAGACACTCCAACATGTACCATAAGCTGCCGTGTCACAAGTGGAGGTCCTTGAGAATGACAATGAGAAACACAATATTGTTGATAATGTTAACTTTTTGTAACACGTTTTGTTATAAATTTCTAATGTATTATGTTTCCTATGGCTGTATTGGCTGAGGTGGACGTGTAGTTGTGTTTCCTTATCATGTAGGGGGAGGAAACAGCAGTTAGGTGGAGGGAGGCAGCAGGTAGGTGGAGGGAAGAAGCGAGTAGTAGGAAGATAGAGGAAGAGAGGCAGCGGATAGGAGGCAGGAGGAAGAAGAGATACAGTGAGCAGGAGGAAGGAGGAGGGAGAGAGGCAGCGGGTAGAGGCAGGGAGGGAAAGATACAGTGAGCAGGAGGAAGGAGGAGAGGCAGCGGAGTAGAGGCAGGAGGAAGAAGAGATACAGTGAGCAGGAGGAAGGAGGAGGGAGAGAGGCGGGTGGAGGCAGGAGGAAGAGAGATGCAGTGGCAGGAGGAAGGAGGGAGAGAGGCAGCGGAGTAGAGGCAGGAGGAAGAAGAGATACAGTGAGCAGGAGGAAGGAGGAGGAGGAGAGGGCAGGGTAGGAGGCAGGAGGAAGAAGAGATACAGTGAGCAGGAGGAAGGAGGAGGGGAGGCAGCGGGTAGGAGGAAGTAAACAGGAGTTGTGTGTATTGAGAGTTCAACGATTGTACACACACACACACACACACACACACACACACACACAGACACACACACACACACACTCCACACACACACACACACACACACACACACACACACACACACACACAGACCACCCCAGAGTTAAAGCTGCAGTTGTTCTTTAGTTTCTACTCAACATTCACTGATCACCCAACTGTGTCCCCAGTAACCATGTGAAATATTGAATGACAAAACTGTTCCGCCAATCAGTGTCGTATTACTGTGATTAGGGTAGTTAGTCCACATTAGCCTATTACAGTGTTTCAAGGTAGTTAGTCCTGATTAGCCTATTACAGTATTTCACTAATTTACAAAAAAAAAATCGTCTTATTCTCATGAATCGACAAGAATGGAAGTGTGAGGAAGACAGACAGACAGACAGACAGACAGACAGACAGACAGACAGACAGACAGACAGACATACAGACAGACATATAAAAAGAACATAAAAAAGTCACCAAGATGAGTAAAGGATGATGGAAATGTAAGAGGTGGAAAAGGAAAATATAGAACTTGAAAGGGAAAGGCGGATGAGAGAGAGGAAAGTAAAAGTAAGAGATGGAAAAGTTTATGGAAGGGAGATGAAGTGATATTGATTCAGTGTTGATGATCAAAGTCGGTGTTTTCAGCCAGCCGTTAATGGTCGTTCATGGGACACACACACACACACACACACACACACACACACACACACACATAGTTCCTACATTGCCTAGACGGAATTAGATCAGGGGGAGAGAGAATTGGGAGGACATTGTCGTGGGTTAAGTGAGCAGTGGACAGTGGTGGGTGGTATGGCGGCTGATGTCCTACGGAAACCAGTGGTGGACATTAAATTGGACCTTTACACAAAACAACCGGTAAATTTATAGTAGTTCACACAGCTGTGTTAGAAAGACAAAACTATGTTTTTCTAGGGTATTTTTGTGTGTTTTGATTAGTTCTGACCTTGATTTCCGTTGGAAATTGCCTGTTTTTTAGTTATCGCCCCTTCTACCCCCAACAAGATAGGGGATCATGTTGGTAACCGAGGTTTGGGTGGGGCGTTTTCCGACAAAAATCATGGCCAGGTGAATACAAAGTACACCAATAAACACTGGAAAAAACATATAAATCTAACCTTTTTTTGGATGACCTAACCTAACCTGACCTATCCTAACCTGACCTTTCCTAACCTAACCTAACTCTCACGGTGTTTTTACGTAACCAGACTCTCACTGTTATTTCTTACCTTATTCCGAATTAGAATCTTTACTGAGGTCGGGAGAACACCATGAGATCTAAAAAGTTCTATTGTTTGTTCGTTTTTTACCCCAAAACGTACAATCAGCTCCATATAATTGAAGTGACACCCATCGCAGACTTCCATGGTCGGAAATGAATTTGAATTTCGAAGCCCGAGAGACCCAAAATCACATTCGAATCTGATTGGGCAAAAAACACCACGAATTCTAATAGCAAAAAACACAATCCCTTTTAATTGGTGGCAAAAAAAAAAGTGTTTGATTGGCCGCGTGATGTGTATGGGAACGCATGCGCGTGACGATTTATGAAGTGGGAGTGGGAGGTCGGGTAGGCCAGTGGTGTCAAACTCAAAACCTTTCGAGGGCCAATTCTTATCTTAGTTACCCTCTTCAGGGCCAACACAAGTGCTATAACACATATTTGCAGGATTGAAGTTTACAGCTTCACACATTGCCTTACCTGGCTTACCAGGAATACCTCATTTGAGTTTGTCTGATCTTAAGTTTGTAAAATTCATTTTACTAAATAAACATGATTATAACTATTTTTTCATAATTTCACGGGATGATAAATTTTACCGTCATCCCGCGGGCCACACCTGACCATCCCAAGGGCCACATTTGGCCCGCGGGCCATGAGTTTGACACCCCTGGGGTAGGCGATAATGGCTGAAGATTAATGAAATTAAATAAAGGAAGACTTGGCATGCGCTATCTCCGTTATTATAAGTTTCCGAAGTATAATAAACATCTTTTTCGTATATGATAAAAGATTAGGGCTAGGAATGTTGTGTGAACGACTATAAAAATACCAAACAACCTTTGCCGATGCTCACCTGTCATCTAAGGAACCCTGTAATACTCTACGTAGAAATAATAAGGAACAGAATAACTACGACGAATATATAATGTACACAGACCCATCGCCAACCTGTTTTAAAAGAACGAGATGAATTTCTACGGAGATGGGGAAAGAGGGTTGCTTCATATTTCACTTATAAAACAATGTGTTAAGTCCTGAGGAATTGTCTTATCTTGAAGAATATGCGAAGAATGTGTGGCCTATTCGTTACTGCCTCTTGATAAGAACACAGGTATAATATCGACAACTTATTTCGACTCTGTCAGTGAACGATTGGAACTTAACGAAAAGTGTTTACATAAGCTCCATCTTGTAACCTAGAACAAGTGACTGGAAAGACGAGCGCTGCTTACCATCTTAAGGAGGTTGACTGAGTACTAACTCTTTACACTTAATTGCCGCAGTAACACGAGTTCTCCAGGAATGAATTATAACTCCTAGCTGTGTTACAATGGGGTAAATCTATCTTTTTTGTATTTAGATAAGACAAGCAGTGTTGGAACAGATGTATTTTTAAATTATTACAGACTTAGATACACTTATAAGTATTGTGTTCAATCTGTCATGTTGTTATTTGTAGGTCTTCAATATATATTATATCCTAATCTGTCTATAGCTTTGTGATAACCTAAACTAATTGCTTTCATTAATAGTTTATATAGAGTACAGTACAGACTAGTTCCTAACACTACTGTATATAACCCGGTGTGAAGTAAATGGGTCCCGTAGGCTGGACTATTCCTTTGGGTCAGTGTGGAAACAGCCGATGTTTAATAAATATTCAGTATACAAGTTTACCACATACTGTAAGTTTATCACATACTGTAAGTTTACCACATACCACATAACGCTATCCCTATTTCGCAGCAGAATTCACTGTGTTTAAGGCTTAATGATGATCACTGAAGACCAGAGTGTATATATATATATATATATATATATATATATATATATATATATATATATATATATATATATATATATATATATATATATATATATATATATATATATATATATATATTCTTCCGGTCACTGTCCAAAATATTACCATCAATATCAATTTGTGCCAATTTTACCCATTTTCGGTTGTTGCGATTGCAGCAATTAGGGAGAGGGACGTGTGGAAAAAGGGGAGATAGTGAGAAAGGGGAGGAACGAGGTGCTTATATGTGGAGATGGTGAGAGTGATGAGTACCAGGGTGGGAAGACGACCATGGGTGGACTGGGAGATAAATCTATGAAAGGAACGATAGGGAGTTTAATTGTCACAATATTTGACAGTGTCAGCTAATGTGCGCGTGTGTGTATATACAGACAGACCAGTTGGTGACCACAAGCTTTGAAACAGGAGTATCTGGGACTCCTGTGTGAAGACTCGCTCAATCACTAAGCATCCTCGGGATCCACCTTTAATTAAAAATCCGGAGTCCGTCACAATTTTCTTTTCATATATAAATTTAAATACTCGGTTAGGTTCTTATATGCGTTTAGTTAGCCCCTGAAATCTATTGGTGCATAAAGCCATAACATTAATGGTTCAGAACGAGAGCCTGCAGGAGCTTAACGTTGATTGGCCATTTCGGCCGAGAGGAAATTGATCATATTTCACTGTATTAAAATCAGCGTAAGAAATGCCACAGCGTAAACAAAAACAAATGAATATATTATGTGTGGATATGAGATTCTTCTTGTCTGCGTGAGCGCCCAGCTGCCTTCAGTGCTCCAGGCCATTTACCTACGAGAGTGTGGGTGACTTTCTCATTCTCTGAAACATTTAAATTTAGTTTCCAATAGAGGCTGTCGTGTGTTTAACTCATTAAACGTACCAATTCCTTAATAAAATTATCATTGGCTTTGTTACGGAGGGAAACTTTTCAGTGACAGATTCCATTAAAACTTTGTCTGGCATCTGTCAAAATATACACAAAAAGTAACAAATCATTAATCTTTATACCTTCGTTGTATTGTTCTTGTAAATATAGGTCAGGATCCGCCATTAATTCCATGTCATTTTCGTCGGAACCAACATTAATCGTTATGTTTTTGTCTCCTTGTAACAATAGGCAAGGTGCTATAAGGTGTGTTAGTACTATATAAGCCAACTCTCCTTCGCTGGCGTCAGTCTTCGTGTACTAAGGTAAGATCGTCTCCCATTATGTAGAGGTGTTTAAGTCTCCTCAGCAGGCGACAAAGGTTTAACCCATTTACCGGTATGTAGAAACTTGTTATTTGTGGCCTCATAGTTCGTAGATTCATAGCGGGTTCTCAGTTGAAACTTTATTGTCCTTACATGAATTGTCTTCCTTATTGTATCAAATGTCTGGAATTCTGTAAACACAAACAGAGGAATAAGTGCTGCCACTCCTCGGTAAGATCGTTTAGTGATGGACAAAATAATCCATCTATTGTGTTCAGAGTTCTGTTTATTAATTCTATCAGAGTCGACTCATGCTTTACTATGTAGACTACAAGATTTAGACTAAGCTTATAAACAGACCATCAAAGTTTTCATAATATTCCCTGAAAAACACAGAGTTGCTCTTCTTGCAGTGACTCTCCGTCTCAACTCCGAAATATCAGCAGATCACACCACATCTTCCGCTCTGACGGGAACTTTTACCTTGTTTGGAAACTCACTACCAGACTGACATCAAAGAAAGATGAAGAAGATTGGAATGAAAATGTGTGTACAATTTTCATGCTGTCTCTCTTTCGTAAAAAAACAAAAACAAAATAAAACAAAACAAAATAAAAAACAAACATATTCTCCGCATCTAAAAAAAAAAAAAAAAAAAAAACCCGCTGTGTTGGTGGCATACTACGGTACATTATTCTGGCCATAATAGAAAAATAAACATGCTTCACTAGCAAGGAAAGCCCCGAATAAACACAGAGAAGATCTTTCTGGCCGCATCAGATAATATACACAGTGGCAAGGGAAGGTTGGTGCTCGGGTGAAGAGGTGACACAATGTGAGGCAGTTTGAGGAGTGGCCTGAGGAGTGGCATTGTAGGGGCGTTGGAGGGTCACATGAGAGGCTTGGAGGAGGTAAAGATATAACATGAGAGAGAGTGAGAAAAGGAGAGGGGAGGGGGACGCCATATTGTATCGTGATAAAATTAGTGGAGGTGGTGGAGGATGTTTCTTAGAGAATAATTATTTGACATAAAAATTGAGGAGAGAAGAAGTGTGTGTGTGTGTGTGTGTGTGTGTGTGTGTGTGTGGTGAGAGGCAACAGAGCTGAGGACACAAATGACGATAAATCCCTCATTAATTTATTTTACAACCATTTTCAAATAGAAGATTCAGATTTACATTACAATAATCTTATAAGAAATCTGAATAAAAGACATACAAAATCCTTACATTGGAGCGTAAACCAGTAAAATCGTTTGTAGGTACGAAAGAAATCCTCTTCGCTGTTTCACTACAAATCAGATGAAAACGTGTCCAAGAAAGTTACTGTCGCGTTTATCTGGAGGAAATTTATGGTAAAGTTTTGCTTCAACCGAGAAACGCCATTCGCCGACTGACTTGCTTGACTGAGCGTGAAGTCTCGGGTCAAATCTGCTGACTGCATGAATTATGGTGTTTTGTCTGCTGAAGTTGAGGAGTGACGTGTGGCCTTGTACCCGACCATGCTGAGGGGCCACACCACCACAGGGCCACTCCACCACACTTACTGAAGGGCCACAACAGCACAGTTAAAGGTCTCCCGGCCACCACTGTCACCCCGGCCACCACTGTCACCCCGGCCACCACTGTCACCCCGGCCACTACCCTGGTTACCACTGTCACCCCGGCCACCACTGTCCTCCCGGGCATCACTCTCCTCCCGGCCACCACTGTCCTCCCGGCCACCACTGTCACCCCGGCCACCACTGTCCTCCCGGCCACCACTGTCCTCCCGGCCACCACTGTCCTCCCGGCCATCACTGTCACCCCGGCCACCAGTTTGACAACAGGTGTCAGCTGCTCCTCATTACTGCCACTGTTCTCATGCTGCCTCTACAGCTATTGTCCTCCCCTCCTGTCATTATGTCTCCCCTCACGTGTCTCTCACTGTCTCTCTCTCACGTGTCTCCTATACTCTCTCTTTTGTTTCATTCTATCATCCAGAGTCTTGTTTGTCTAGTGAAAGTTACTTTAAGTGGTTCAAGCTGTGAGCAAACTGACACTACCAGAGGTGAGCTACTGTGGACCTGTTCCAGTAACTCTCAATTGGGTTTTATACTGAACGTATCACGGGGGAAAACTTTCTCTATGTTAAGAATAAAATAACACGTGAATTATTATTTCGTTTATACATATTTTCTCCTATTATAAGTGTGTCCAGATAGCGTCTAGTAGTCTGTAACAGCGCCCTACTGCTGGGTGGGGTTGAGAAGCTGTTGTCATCGTTTTTAAATATATTCATCCGGCAACATCTCCGATTCTTCATTCTCTCAGGAACTTCCTCGTGTGCACGTGAGAGTTTTAAGCCAGTTACTCGCAGCTCTTGATCACCGCCTCAGTATCAAGAGTTAGCGAGTCCACAGAGGAAGAATTCATCTTGCTGTTTTAGTCAGTAAAAAACACAGGGAGCTGATACGTAGCTGTGGTTCTTCATAATAATTTTTGTACTGCATCACTTGCTTGAAAAAGGAAGTCCTGACAGTTTTAGTCGTGTCGCATTTCAAGCTCTGTCTTCCATACTTGGAGACAACTCAAATAATATTCAGATCTTCTTGGTACACCGCTCTCTTACCAATGACCATAATAAAAGACCCACGCCTCTCTACAACCAAGATGATAAAACGACTCTTACTGCCCACGACTGATCGACTTATCCATGATGAAACTTTGGCAACTGAGCGGCAGACTGACAAGGAAAAGTGGTAACGATCTGAGTCAGGAAAGATTACCACAGGAGACGACCAGAAGATTATTGGGAAGGTCTTACTGAGCCAAGATGGAGGAGCTGGCATAGTGGTGTGGAGGGAGAGAGAGAGAGAGGGCATTATAGGATAAGAATTTGTTCTTTTTTTTTTAGTCCAAATGCCCAAGAAGCAAAAGTTCAGCTCTATATATGGTCATCATGTCACTGTCTTTCTCTAATCATATTTTCCTTCACTGTGTAAGAGTAGTCGTCTAAATTTTACTCTCCGTAACTTTCTTAATTTTTGTTTTTAGTTTAACGAAAACTCTGTAAATTTGACGTCAATAAACTTAGAGAAAACTGGTATATCCCGAGACCACTGTGGGAGAAGCGTAATAAACCAGCCCTGGACCGGCCAAGAGGACAAAGCCCGTAAGTCAAGAACCACATATTACTAGAGAACACTGTGTCAGGTAAGAGGCGGTGCAGTGACGAAGGTACTGATCTGCGTCATAGTTAATTAACGTATTATTGAGCTTGAGTAAAGAAGGTTGATGGTTTATATTCACCTTCTGCTATGGAATGTTGCTGGTATTACTGCTGCTCTCCCCAGTGTGTCTTTTATGGCTTAAGCTCCGGCTCCCTCAGCATTACCATAATAGAAATGAAGGAATTCCCCGGCAGTAACGCAGGTGTGAGTGTTGCCATAACCTGGTCCCCGCCACACACCATTACCGTAACTGGACTCTGTGTGACCTTATTGTCTCTACCAGGAGGTGCCGCCCCTCTCCCTCCAGGGAGTAACGTGCACAGTCCCAGGTAGGATGGGAATAATCTGGACACTGCCAGGAAGGGTGGGAATAATCTGGACCTTCACAGGTAGGGTGGTGGGATAAGCTGAACATTTACCACGTCAGTGCTGTAGTACGGCAGTGGTGGCGGCAACATGTGTGTGTGAGGTCATACAGTATTTGATCACTATTTCCATGTTTTACGTTTGCTGTTTGTGGATTACCTCGTGTTTGTGGCGTCGTGAGGACTTCCAGGACTCTACGTTGTGGTTATTAGCAGTTGAGTGAAGGTAAGGTGATAACAAGTTGTGTTGTTGTACTGTGGGGTCCAGGGAGGAGGAGGCGGTAGTGTAGCTCTCCGCCGTGTGTACAGGAGTTGTGGATGCCGTGGCTCGGACAGAAAATACTGCTATTAAGATGGCTATTAACCTAAGCTAGTATGTGGATAGACAGATATTACTGCTATTAAGATGGCTATTAATCAAAAGTTAGCATGTGGTATATGACATAATACTGCTATTAAGATGGCTATTAACCTAAGCTAGTATGTGGATAGACAGATATTACTGCTATTAAGATGGCTATTAATCAAAGTTAGCATGTGGATATGACATATAATACTGCTATTAAGATGGCTAATATGTGGATATATGAATAAAATCCAAGTACATTGTTGTTGCAGTGCGGGGTACTTATCCACCTGTACTGGGACCTTGATTTTGTATGAATTTATTTAGTAAAAATCATACATACATACATACATACCTAACCTAACCTCACCCCGGTAAATCAAACCAAGTGTGTCTGTAGTGATGATGAATTGTCTTATAATAACTGGGGATCATTCAGCAGCATCAATCATCATCATTATTCATCATCACCATCATTATCATCATCATTCATTATTTATCATCATTCATCATCATTGTCATCACATATACGCCATCATTATCGTCATCATTCATTATTTATCATCATCGTCGTCATCACATATACGCCATCATTATCGTCATCATTCATCATCATCCTCATCATCACCATCATCATCGTCGTCATCATCATCATCACACACACCACACACCACCACCCCTGAGCCCTCTCCCCGCCCGCCTTGACTACCAGCTGTGTCAGTTGGTACAAATTAGTGGTTATTTCGGTTCGTTTACGCCATTTTGTAGATTTTCTCATAAAAATAAAAATATCGTAATATACCAAATAAAAATCCTTGTTTGGCATATGCAATAAATTCTGATTATCTACATGACATAACGTGTAATTTATTCAGAATGTATTCATCATGCAGAACCTCTACCTATGGGAATATGTCAACCTGTCGTTTGTTTCATGAGTTCTGAGTGGCTGGTCACCACAAAGGAAGCGCTGAATCTGTATCGAGAGTTCTGAGTGGCTGGGCACCACAAACGAAGCGCTGAATCAGGAGTCGAGCTTGGAGCCACATTTCTCTGAACCATCTGTGATTTTTGTTGATCAGCTGAATAAAAAACGTTTCCCATTATTTCCAGTAGAAGCAACTCAGTTTTTCTGTTAGTGAGCATTTACATGTAATATCCGGTCCTTATCAATACAAGAGCGTCGGTTAGATAGAAGTTTCGATCGGGTGGTTCAGTGTCTGGGAGTCGAGCTCTCAGTTGTCACTTTAGAAGGTATCAGTACTTTCTTATGGTGTCAAATTAAGCAAAACAAATATGGCCACGCCAGCCATCCGATTAAGTGTTATTACTAAGGTTCGCAAGTGACGCTATATATCATGGTTCAGTGTGTGGTGGAGATGTGGATGAACTTTAGACCAGGGACAGCCAGACGTGGAGGGAGGGAGCCGGCCAGTAGTGAGACGGTCGAGGCGATTAGTGGATGTGTGACGGAAGTTAACGTTTACAGAATGCTCCTAAATTAATACATCCAGTTGTCACGGATTATAAAATACAGACGCCATCATGTGTGTGTTGGTGTTGAAAAATATAAGGTATGTCGCTGTGTATATTTCCCTTACAACTTATTTCTCTCTCCAATCTACGTCAATTCGATAGCCCATTAATTGTATAGAAATGTTGATGACTGGGACTTAATTATACTGAATGATCTTGACAGCTTCCCTGGGGTAGAAATCCATTTCAACGTGATTTGGTTGTAGGAGTTTAAGGTTAGGTACCAGAACAAGGCGACCACCCACGCTGATTAACCCGACCTTCTCCCCTAGACCATTATCCGGTTTAGCATTTATACGGAGTCCTTTAACACGGCTTTAGAGGATTATGAACATTAGATTAACACCTGATCGTGTCCATGATCAAACCTTATAAGTGGTTGTTCCCAGTCGGCGTAATAGAGATGTCTTAACTGTGTACATTATGCCTTCAGTGTTCATTGGTGTATTCATAAGTGTTCTAAGTGGTCTATGATTATCGGGAACAAAATGTAAATAGCACTTTTAGGCTAAAACGTATGTAACAATATAAGCAACTAACCACTCAGCGCAGCCAAACTCAGCTCGACATTAGCCACCACGTGAAGATTAGGCACCCAATCAGATTTTACTTGTTATACACAGAAGTGCCACTTTTGGTGGTGGTGCGGGGGGGTGTGTTAGGGTAGTTAATCTTCAGGTGATATAAGATGGGCTGCTGCCATATCTTCGTGATTTCATAATTTTATCTTGTTTAAACCAAACACTATTTCAATGAGCGTTTTAAATCAGTGTAAGAGGCGGTGATGGTAATTGGCTGCATGGTATCCACATTGTAGGGTCACGGCAAGTGCAGGGAAGTAGACGAGCCTGGCTGGTGATAGTTGTTGGTGCAAGTGTGGTACAATTGGTCTGGACTCAGGATATATTTATATGGAGATAAGTGGTGTATACTTTTGTACTTTTCTAGTGTATGGTGAGGCTGAGGTCGGGTTTTGGGTTAATTTAAGCTGTTCATCTGTACTGTACTTAAATTGTTCTTGACTTATAATGCTAAGTTATGCATTTCATGATTCATCTTCAACGTGATACCTATATTTTGAGTTAATCTGAGGGTTATTATTGAGAATCTGGTGGAGATAATATAAGAGTCATAATAGTGTTTACCCTGCTTGTTGTTTTAACCACTCTTGTGACTTGACTAGTGGTAAATTCTTGTTAAGAGGAGTGCTGGCATAACAGTATGAAAGAGTGATTTTAATTCTTGTCGCCCTGCAATATATACAAAAAAAACTCTTTTTGGTTAATAAAATTTTAATTTCACAGGTATTAACAGAAAATACTACTCAGGGAGGATGAGGACCATAACTTGGTGTACAGATGAAGAGGCAACATCAAGATGGACAAGAGAAACGATCAAGAGTACAGTAAAGGATGAACATTCTCTCTAAATAACTGTCTACCAACATGACGGAAGTTGTATTGTATATATGTAAGTGTTGGTTAATACTCCACATTACTAAAACAGATTATAACAGTGTGTTGAAATCTTATCTGACTACTGTAAAGATACTGTAGAGTGAGGAAAGAACAAGCAATATTATGTAGAGTGAGGAAGGACATGCGGTGATGTGGAGGAGTGAGAAAGGATGTGGGTGTTGTGTGGGAGTGAGGGAAGGACGTGCAGGTTTTGTAGGAATGAGGAAAGACATGAAGTGATGTGTGTAGGTAGAAGGACGTGCAGGGTTGTGTAGAAGTGAGAGAAGCACTACTATAGTAGTATTGTGTAGGAGTGAGGGAAGGACTTGCAGTGTTGTGTAGAAATGAGGGAAGGACTTCTAGTATTGTGTAGGAGTGAGGGAAGGACTTGCAGTGTTATGTAGGAGTGAGGGAAGGACTTGCAGGATTGTGCAGGAGTGAGGGAAGGACTTGCAGTGTTGTGTAGAAATGAGGTAAGGACATCTAGTTTTGTGTAGGA